AGGCGCTGCCCTGCCGAGTGGGGGGCCCCAGCCGGGCCCGGGGCCGCCCTGGCCCGGGGCTGATACCTCTCTTTCCGCTGCGAGCCCGGGGTCTGGAGCAGAAAGGCTCCGCTCTGCGTTTTTCCTGTCTGCTTCACATCAGTTATTCACTGTGCAGTGAGGAAACAGCCCAGGGCGTTTTGCCCTTCTCGCTGCAGCTGGCTGAAGCCTGGTCATGAGAGCAGAAGATGTCACTTGTGTTGGCCTTATTCTCATAGCAGCCCAGCGTGGGGAGCCAGGTTTTGTCCCTGGTGGGTGGATAGTCTGCAGGACTTCAGCCTGAGTGCCCTGCTCTGCAGCTCCCACGGAGCACTAAGAAGAAGCTGTTTTGGGGATGCCACGTGCTTGTCTGCCTGGGCTGGGCTTCTGCTGGGAACCACGTGGCTGTGGCTCTTTAGGCCCATGTAGCTGTTTCTTCATCTGCTTCTGATCTTCTGCTCCCAGGCTGCGAGCTGACCAGCAGCACCAAATCCTACACGTTTAAGGTGGATGAGGAAGATGACTCCGACCACATCTTGGCTCTGTCTGTGGTAAGAGAGAGGAGGGTTAGCTGGGCTTCTCCTCCTCTCCAGCAGCCCATCTGCTTGCCAGGCTCACTCCCCTCAGCTGGAGGGCTGGACCCTGCACTGAGGTCTTGGCACTGGCCCCCACGAGGGCAGGATGAGGGGCTGGTGCTTTTCTCCCTCCTAGGCAGGCGCCAGAATAAAGCCAGCAGTGTCTGGGGGCTGTTTGGTGCAAGGATCCTCTGGATATAGGGTGAAGGAGGGTGTTTTTCCCTGCGTTAGACCTTGCTGGGGCCTACAGCAGAACACAGGTCCCCACCAGGCAGGTCTCTGGCCTCCTGCTCTCAAAGGGGCACTCAGGGCTTTGCTCATTTATTTTTTTGGCTCTTTCTGGGCTCACTGTCTGTCCTGGGAACACGGGAACTGCCAGCAAGGATCAACAGAAAATGCAGCCCACATGCTGTCTCCTGAGACAAATGCAGGAACGGCTGTCCAGCTGGAAAGGCACGGAGCCCCTCAGCAGGCAGCAAAGGGACGGTGGCTGCAGGGAGGGATTTTGTGCTGTCTCCAGGAATTAGCAGCCAGTCTGTGCATTCACGCAACAGAGGTTCATGTCCCTGTCTTACCCATTTACACAATGGCACTGCACATGGTGCCTGCGTAGCAGCCAGGCTGCTGGCATTGCTGTGGGTCACTTGTCCCGAGGAGAGGCCTGACTGTCCCTGCTGCCTTTCTTGGGAGGGCCGTAATTCCCAACCTCTGCTCCCTCCAGGTTTGCCTCACGGATGGTGCCAAGGATGAGTGCAACGTGGTGGAGGTTGTTGGGCGAAACCACGAGAACCAGGAGATCGCGGTGCCGGTGGCAAATCTGAGGTTGTCGTGCCAGCCCTTGGTAAGAGAATACCAAGGGACTCAGGCAGGCTGCAGGGACTCCACATCTCTGGGTGTTTGTAGACCTTTCCCTCCAGACCCTGACCACGAGCTGGTCTGCGTTTCCCTGGGGAATGCCTGGAGTAGCCATGGCCAGGCTGCAGGTGCCTCCGCACCTCCTGGTGTGTGCACATACTGCTGAGCAACATCGCTCCAGGTCTCCCTCCCAGCCCCTGCATCCTGCGGGGATGCACCCTTGCCACCCCTCTCTCTGCCCAAGCTAAGATGTATTTAACCGATCCGAGCACCCTGCCAGCTGGTATGGGTCACCCTGGGTTTTGCCTCTGCCTCTGATATCTCCCGCCCTCTGTCTCTCTGCAGCTGAGTCTGGACAACTTCCAGCTGCAGCCTCCGGTGACTTTCCGTCTGGCAGCGGGCTCCGGCCCAGTGCACCTTGCCGGCTGGCACCAGATCGGTAAGGAGCAGCGTGTGGGAAAGGCTCGGGAGGAGAGAGGGGCATGGAGGGCTTTCTTCCGTGGGGATGCCTGCTTTCCCTGGGAAACCTGGGGAGAAGCACCTTGGTGCTGCCCAGCATCTGTCCAGCAGTGACCCCCTGTGCTGTTTCCCCAGGGATCCATCTCCCTGGTGTTGAGCCCTGCCCAAGAAAAGGATGTGGATGACCCAGAGTGTCTCCTCTTCCCATGCCTTTCTGTTACCATTCCCATCTGAGAGCTTCCTACAGCTGGGACATGGCCTATTGCCCACGAGCTCTTTGGGCTGCTCTGTTCTTTGGGTGTTTTAGGAGGAAACTGTGTTTTCCAAAGTGGGTAACAGAGTTACATGCATGTCCCAGTGCACAGGGAAGATGACTCCTTTGAGGAGGAAGATGACATGTCTGAGGATGAGATTGCTCCCGTCATGCCAGCCAAGAAGCAGCGAGGGAAGCAGTAACGGGTCTTCTGGCAAGGTGAGGGGCTGGGCAGCCCTGGAAGAAGCATCCCAGTGATGTCCCGTGGGAAGTGCCGTGGGTGGAAGCCGACCCCACCGCGCGGTGGTGGTGTGGAGAGGGCACCATGGCAGCAGGCTGCCCACCTCAGGCTGCTGCTTCTTTCTCCAGGTACTTGCTGGAACTCCTGGGACGACTTTTGCCTCAGATACCTCTTGCCTGGACCTCAACTTTTGCTGCTTCCTGATGTACCTTTCTGGGGGCTGAGGTGTGGGAGCTACTCCTAGCACTGGGGTGGCCCCTCTCCCACAGCCCTAGAAGGTTGATCCCGAAACAGAGTTGGTGCTGCTGGTCTCTCCCCTCTCCCCCATCTCTGGAGTCAGGGATGGTGGATGGTGTCCTCGTCTTGTGCCTTTTCACTGTCCCAGACCTCTGCTCTGTGCACCTTTTTCCTGGCTCTGACACACACTCTCCTGGCCCTGTCCTCAGGGCCGGATGCACAGCCAGGGGTGGGGGGTAGTTTCACTGAGATTTTCTGTTGTTTGATTTTCTTTACACACAGCTAGCTGGTTTTTACATAGTTAAAAGCATTATGTGAAACCAGGGCCCAGGCTGCCTCCTCACAAGCAGGATGGTGGGGTGGGGGCTCACAATCTATTTGGGATGTGGGGGGAGGCACTGGGTCAAACTGCTTTGTAAAGAATAGTTTTTACACTTGAAATAAAGTTCTATGGGGTGCGGGGGTCACTGATGACTGGCACCTTCCTGGCCTGTGGGTCAATGTCCATTCTGGCCCTCCATGTTTGTGACACTGGCTGCTGTCCCTAAGAACCACCATGAACTGCCCTGCCCTGTGGGCCCTGTAGGTACCTTGCTGGGCAGCAAGCGCCTCGGGCTGCATGGACTCCCATGGGAAATCCTCCAGGGTGGATCCATGGTCCTGGGTTGTGAGTGGGGCCACTTCTGCCTTCCACACGCCTTGCCCCGCTGTTTCTTTCTGGTCCCAGCAGCTGTGGTTGGGCTTCCCCAAGGCCCCGTCTTGCAACCTGGGGAAGAGGCAGCAGGAACAGCCCTGGCTTGGGAAAGGAGAAAGGGCACCGGGTGCTGGTGCTGTGCTGTGGGGGACGTGCCTGGACTGAGATGCATCAGAGGACAAAGCAGAGCCAAAATGGAGAGGTTAACAGCTTGTTTGGGGCATCCTGCCACCCTGCAGCCTGGTGACATGGGGGCAGCCCGGGGGAGCACGAGCACCCGCCCTGCGGCACCGCGTGGGGCCCGGGACACTGCGGTGGCTGCGG